CTGATTCATTCAATCACTCATTCACTCACTCATTCACTGATCATTCACTCACTCATTCACTGATTCATTCAATCACTCATTCATTCATATGCTCATTCTCATTTCCTTGCCCATTTATTCATTCATTCACTCATTAGCTCATTCATTCACTGATTTTTTTCACTCACTTCATTTGTTCCTTCATTCATGAGGCACTCTCTGACCCTCCCTGTGCTGTGACCAGATGCCTCTTTGACTCTGGGCAGTAGCTGGACTGTCAATGGCCTCTGCACAGTGACCATCACCTCTGGACAAACCTAAAGTCACTTCCTGTCTTCCTTTTGAAACAGATGGGCACCCCAAGGAGCTGGAGGCAGCAGGGTTCCCCAGGTAGCCCTCACTAGGCCCCTCAGCCCCTAGTGTCCAGCCTGGGGTATGAGCTCCTGGGTCTGGGGCTGACCCCACCCTATTCCTGGGTTTATGTCCAAGTTCAAGAATTCACATGGTCCACAAATTGCAAAATGCTCCAAGTGTATTTATGAAACAGATTGGTCATTTCCTGAGGAGGGGGACATGGGCCCATGGCTGAGGTAGGAGGGCAGCCAATACCCACATCCCACATTAGTGAGAGCTTTGTGTGATGCTGAAGTCCCAAGGAGCAGGTCAGAGTCATACCAGAAGAGCCCCACTGACCCCACATTCCTGAACAGGGGGGCACAGGTGGATGAGGGCCTCCCCACCTCCATGGACATCTCAAGGGTCAGATCTCCCTTGAAAAGAACATGGTGGGTGGACAGCATGTCCTAGACGGCAGCCACCTTGACGAAGGTGCATGTTCTACTGGCCTTGGAGGATTCAAAGGACGTTTTCCTTGGTGTGTCCCAGAGGACACAGCAGCACTGGCCAGCTCACTGGGGAGGCCTGGGCAGTCCCTCCCAGCTACTGCTCTCTGACTCCTGGCTCTGCTCTTTGCTCTTCTTGGACTCAGACTCCGATGATCCTAGTGGCTGGTGTCACCTGGTGAGTGGCACTGCTGGCCCAGGCAGCCACAGGCCTCTGCCTGGGTGTAGCTGAAGGTCCGGCTGGAACCGTCGGCACAGGTCAGGCTCACCTTCTTCCGTGAGGTCCGCAGCTCCTGGCAGCACTGGCACTTGCGTTCCACTGTGTAGGTGTCCAGGGAGTACCTGCGGGCAGAGTCTGCTCAGCACCAGGTGCCCTGCCACAGGTGCCACAGTGGCAGCTGCTGCCACGGGCCACCCAGGCCAAGACCCTGACACAACCAGGCTGCACATGCCCTGTGGCCAGTGTCGAGCTTCCAGTTCTCATTCGCCAATTACTTGGGGGCAGATGCTCCCATCAGGGCTGATCCCAGCCATCACTGTGTGTCCCAGGTCCCAGGGTCAGGAGGGACCCACGGACGGCTGGCTGCAGCAAATTACAAAGGGGAGCTGGGATGGGGTCTCAGCAAACACAAGAGCTGATTCCAAACAGGCCAGGCCTGTGGGTCTCAGAATCCTGCTGCCCCACCCTAACTCCCAGTGGCCCTCATGGTATCCCTCTGGGGGCCTCCAGCCCTCTTCCTCTCCCTTCATGGTCCTGCCTATCTGCCCCACCCCAGCTGGGTGGACCTAACTGCACCCCACTGCTGATCACATCTGTGAACACTGCCCCAAGGGACTCCCTGTGGATCGGGGAGGGCGCCACGGACAGGGGTCCCGTACATGGAGGTGCTGTTCCCGCAGTTCCCCTGGCAGTAGGAGAGGCGCACAGGCCCGGCCGAGCTGCAGCTGCCCTGCCGGATGGTCTGGTTCCTGTGGTGCAGCATGCAGGACGTCTCTGGGGACAGACAGACACAGGAGGTGAGGCAGTGTCAACACCACCCACTTGTTTCCTGGACCCCCATGGCTGGAGTCAGACCTGCCAGCAGACCCGCCCTCTTACCAACGTGTGGGCAGACGAAGCAGCAGCCGTCGGAGCTCAGCCGGGCCTGGTCCTGTGCCAAAAAGGGACAGCTGTTAGTACCAGGGAGGCCACTCAGCAGCCTACCCAGAAATGGAGGTGCAGAGACGCAGGCCGAGGGCCACAGGCCCGCTGGCCCCACAGAACTCCCATCACTGGGTGAGCCGCGGCTGGGCGGGGCGGGAGCTCACCCGAGCGCAGCTGAGTGGGGCACACTGCTTCTCCACGGTCACCACCTCAAGCCTGTCTTGGTGCTTCTCACACCGGTAGGTCACACAGCGGTTCTCGGGGTCTGACCAGGACTCACCAGGCTGAAAGGAGGCAGGGTAAGTGCCCCTCACGGGGAGATCATGGCCTTGCCAGGCACCTGCCTTGGAGAGAACTCCCGAGTGCCCCAGTGCCCAGTGCCCCAGGACCCTGCCTGCTCAGTGCCAAGTGCCCCCCAGGACCTGCCCATTCAGTGGTCAATGCCCCAGGACCCTGTTCACTGAGTGCCCAGTGCCCCCAGGACCCTGTCCATTCAGTGCTCAGTAACCCCCAGGACCCTGCCCACTTAGTGCCTAGAACCCCTAGGACCTGCCCCCCAAGACCTGCCCATTCAGTGTCCAATATCCCCCAGACCCTGTCCACTCTGTGTCCAGTGCCTTCATTACCCCATTCACTCAGTGCCCAGTGCCCCAGGACATTGCCTGCTCAATGCCCAGTGCCCCCCAGACCCTGTCCATTCAGTGCCTAGTACCCCAGGACCCTGTTCACTCAATGCCCAGTGCCCCAGGACCCTGTCCATTCAGTGCCAAGGACCCTGCCCACTTAGTGCCTAGAACCCCTAGGACCTATCCCCCAAGACCTGCCCATTCAGTGTCCAGTATCCCCCAGACCCTGTCCACTCAGTGTCCAGTGCCCAGGACCCTGCCTGCTCAGGACACAATGCTTTCTCTGCCTTCATATCCATGGGCAGGGCCTTGCCTGAGCCTTCCTGGAGCTCCCACGGGGGGGTGGCAGCTCTGCCCCCCGCCCACCCGGAGCCCAACACCTGCTTCTCCAGGCTCCCAGCCCCCGCCCTGAGGCCCCAGGTGCCCAGCTACGCACGCGGAGGAAGTGGCCACGGCCTCTGGGGGTGTTCACGACGCAGCTCACTGCCACACACTTCCCACAGCACCGCCCCATCTGAGCTTGGTATTCGAAGCCCTGCAGGGACAGTGGATGTACGGCCTGAGCTCGCGCTGTCTGCCCAGGGGACGAGGGCAGTGGTGGGGCCAGCACTCACCAGGGGGCAGTGGGTGTTGCAGATCTGGGTCTCACAGCTGACCAGGAAACTGCCCGATGGGGGGCTGCCGGCTGCCTCGCACCAGCACCTTTCACACAGGCTGGAGGAGACCATGGCGCCAGGCTGGGGAGTTAGGCCAGGTGTCAGTGCCCTTGGACTGGGCCCAGGGACAGGCCCCAGCCCTCACAGGTCAGCTTCCCCAGCCTGCCCACAGGCCAACCCACACCCCTGGGGTGGCCCTGGTGCAGAGCCCTGTCACAAGGATGAGCCCTCCATAGGGGCTCTGGGGTCACACACTTTGGGGGCCCGGCTAGAGGCCTGGTGTACTCAGGAGGATACCAAGGAGTGGCCAGCTGCTGGGACCCAGTGAGGCCAGGCACCCAGTATCAGCACCTCTGGGGGCCTGGGGCCAGGCTTGGGCCTCAGCCACACCAAGCTGAAGACTGGATCCATGAAGACTCGTTCCCTGGTCCGGGCAGGGTTCTGAGACATGGTCTGCGGGGGGTCTGCTCTGAACTCTACTTCTACCCCGAGGGGCCGTCAGGGAGCCCAGGAGTGGGAGACCCAGTCCCTGTGGCTGTGGGGTGTCCGAATGCTGGACGGGCCTTACCTGGTAGACGGTCCCGTTGACATTGCAGCCAATTCCGCCTGTCCAGGAGATACACAGGCTGTAACCCTGGCAGGCAGGGACCCAGCCCACCCCACCATGCCACCCGAGACCTCCCCTGTTTGGCCACCTTGGCCTCCTGGGCACCAGCAAGTTCTGATGCTCATTGCTGGAGTCATCAGATCAGATCTGTGCCAACATTCAGCCCCAACAAACCACGGCTTCGTCCAGTTATGCCCTCAGGAATCCCTGGCCAGAGTCCCCAGCCTGCAGTGTCCAGCATGCATGTGCAAGGGTCAAGGACACTCACGGCAGATTTGGCTTGGGCAGCAGGCCCCCTCCTCGTGGGTCAGGACCAGGCGGGAGCCCTTGGGGCAGTGCTGGGGCTCCGGGCAGTAACTGGTGTTGCAGGCTGCAGGTGAGCGAGGGAGTCAGGGACGGCCCCCTCTGCACCCGTTCCCACCAGCCTCAGGGCCTGCTCCCCAGGGCTCCCAGGAGAGCTGGCAGACCCCACCCTCCCCACACCCCTGCTGGGGTCCCCAGAGGGGCTGGAGGGAGGGATCTCCCTACCCCAGCAGTGGATTGCCCTGGCCCCTCCAGCCATCCCCACCAGGCAAGGGCTCACCGCAGACGAACTGGGGACAGCACTGGCCAGCCTTTGGGGCCGTGGGCACAGGCACTAAGCCGGGCAAGGGGCAGGCGGGGGGCAGGGGACAGGGCTTCCTGTGGCAGGTCATGTTCTGGGAGCTGTCCTTGCAGGTGCACTCCTGGCAGTCGGTGCTGATGGTGTGGCCCGGCTGTGGAGGAGGCTTGTGTGAGCCTGCCACAGGTCAGCCTTGGCCCAGGCTGGCTCACAAGGTGGGGCCCGCGGGGGACACCTGGGGCAGCACTCAGAAGTGACAGGAGCTCAGGTTGGCACTGGTACTGGAGACCCCAGGAGGGCCGGAGATGAGGTGGGAAGGGCTTTGTGGGGTGGCCTGCCCCGTGAGGATGGAAGGGGTCCCAAGAAGATAGGACCTGGCCAGGCAGGGGCTCAGTACCCACAAAGCAGCTCCAGTGTCACCCCAAGTTGGGTAGGGAGGACACTTAAGAAGAGGGGCCTCCTATTCCTGTCGGGCCACTGGCCAATCTCCTTGCCCTTCCTCTGGGCCTCTGGGACTGAGAGGAAGCCCTCAACCCAAGCCCACACTGGCCATTCCAGGGCTTGCATTTCAGGGACCTCCTGCCTCAGCTTCCTGGGGTTCAGGGTCAGGCCACCCATCCACACTTACCTCCACTGGCTCCCCATGGGGCCCCAGGCACCCTGCAGAGAGAGAGAGATCAGAGGTTGCCACCAGGCAGGCACGGTCACTCTGCCACCCCCACCAAGCCCTTGGGGACGTACAGCTGCAGTTGGCAGGCACACAGACTTGGGCGTCGCTGCTGAAAAGCATCGTGTTCTCGGGACAGAAGCAGCCCTCTGTGATGGGACCGGCCTCCGGGAGGGCCCTGCAGGACGGCAGAGTGGGCTGCAGCCCCTGCTCCCCAGGGCAGCAGTGCCCTGGCCAGGGAGGGGGCCCCCAGGGGGGCTCTGGGGTTTGTTGGACCCACGGTGGGTGGGGTGAGGGTGCACGTACAGGGAGCTGGTGCTGTCCTTCCCATAGCAGTAGGGGAGGCTGGACGGGCCACAGGGCAGGTACACCTGGCCAGCCGAGCAGGTGAACGCTGTAGGGAGAGAAGCCACCCTGAGGGCCAGCTCGAGGCTGTGCCTCTGGGCTCTTGACCCCAACTTCCGGCTGCGCACCACCACTCCGGAGCCCTCAGTAACTGTCAGTGGTACCCGTCCATCCAGGCTCTGGGCCCCTCAGGCTCTGCTGCTGCCCACCCATGACCACCTGCATCCAGCCCTCCAGAGGCCATAGGACCCTGACTTGGGTTTCCCCTCTTCCTCCAGGAAGCCCTGCCTGACCCCCTGAGCCCACCCAGATCATCTGCCGACACTCACGGCAGGCATGGTTGGTGTGGCCCCTCCAGTCGATGCACACGCCTTCCGAGGCACACAGCGCCGCATACAGCTGCAGTCCAGAGCACACCACGTCCAGGGGGGTCATGTGGCAGTAATCGAAGACACAGCCTTCATAGAAGGACTGCGGGGAGATGACGTGGTGGCAGGGCTGGAAGACCCTGCAGGCAGATGGGGCAGATGTGGTGTGGGCCACCAGCCCACAGCGGGGTCTTCCCGACACAGGACGCCCCAGAGAGCACCAGGTGAGGACAGTGGCCTTCCTCAGCTCTGCACGCACGAGGGAGGGTGTCGGGCCCCCACCCCCTTCCTGCAAGTGCCTCTGCACCAGGCTCCCCATCACCAGGTGTTGGGGAGGTGACCAAGGCCTGCATTCGTGACAGCGGACAGCAAAGGCCCTCGGAGGTTGACCAGCCTGGCTGCAGCCAAGCCCTGTGGTGGCATTCTGGCAGTGACCACCCTACCCAGAGCTCCAGGACAGCATTCTAGGCCTGTGACAGGGCAGCTCTGGGCCTTCCCAGGAGCCTCCTGAAGGCCCTCTTGCCCTTGGCAGGGGGCCCAGCGGGCTGCCCACCCCTGACAGACCCTTACTTGCTCAGGATCAGCTCACAGAGTGGCGATGGGGGGCACTGGACAGGAGTTGTCTGGGGTGTGGTTGAGGGGGGTGTCGGGGTAGGCCCGTGGCAGTGCGGCTGGCCGGGGACGTCCACCTTCCAGTGGCCTGACATTGCAGAGCAGGAGGAGGCCACTGTGCCTCCAGGCAGGCGACACTCGTCCCTCTTGTCATTGGTGCAGGTACCTGGCCAGACGGAGGTGGTCAGAGCTGGACCACGGAGACTGTGCCCTGCAGCACCCAGTGTGTCCTTGCTGGGTCTGGCCGGACATCTCCACCCTCACCTGTGGGACCAGCCCCGGCCCCTCCCCTTCCCGGGCTGCACTGTCCCTCTGAGAAGCCAACCCTAGGTGGTTCCCTCGGGGTGAATGGGTGTGCGCCCAGCGAGCCCACGCGGGGGCCCATGCAGCCCGGCCAGGTGCCCCAGCCCACGAGCCTGCTGCCCAGGTGCCCAGGCAGGCTCACCACACTGGCCCTCGGTGTTGTTGGCAAAGGTGCTGAAAGGCACTTCCACAGAGAAGATGAGGCCAGAGAACATGACCCGCACACCGATCTCCCGGATGGTCACGTACATCTTAATGCCCACGCGGGAGACAGCAATGCCGTTGCTCTGGAAACCAGGGCTGACCACCTTGTTGTTGAATATGATCTGGACATGGGGACAGCCACCGGGAAGTCAGCACGTGGGCAGGGGTGGGCAGCTGCAGGCCGACCTCCCGCCTGCACGTCAGGGCAGCCCCACCTGGTTGGTCATGACCCCGCCAACAGACGTGCGGGTCAGCACCACGCGGTCCTGGTGGTACTCCACGATGATGGCCTGTGGGCAGGACAACTGGTCCTTGGGGTCACAGAAGTCATTGTTGATGAGCACGCGGAAGTGGCCGTACACGGGTACCACCTGCTGCACCAGCACGTACGTGCAGTTGTCCAGGAACGTGTAGTAGGTGCCGTCGAACGTGATGTAGTGGGGGTCGCCCCAGCCGCTGCACACACCTGCGGGTGCCGGGGGCTCACCAGAGGCTCCAGGCCTCCTGCACGCCTGGCCCCCCACCGCCCCCACACGGGCAGCTGGGGAGCCCGTCCTCACCGTCCAGAGGCAAGTGGCCAGCAGGAGCTGGGGAGGCCTCAGAGTAGCAGGAGTGGATGCCCCTCCCCTTATCCCAGCGGGCAGGGCGCAGAGGCTCTGCAGGCTTCCCTGGACACCCCAAGGTGAGGGTCACCTACACCCATCCCAGCCTCGTGGCTGACATGTTCTGCCTGAAGTCTGACCCAATTCCACCCTCTCTCCTGGCCCCCCTCCGGGTCCCCAGCTCACACTGGCACTGGTAGTGCTGGCAACAGCCGTCCTGGTCAGCCACCTTCAGGGCTGGGTAGCCATTGGCACAAGTGGGTTCCTTCACCTCTGGACACTTGCGTGGACGCAGGGAGATGATGCTGTTGCCCTCGCAGGTGGCCTGGGTGCAGTTTGGCATGGCCCAGGACTCGCCTTTCTGCAGAAGCAAGGGCAGCTGCAGGGTCTGATCCCTGGGGTGGGCCCTCCCCTCGGTGCCCAGGGGGACAGTCCCTGAGGTCCTCATGGGAAAAGGGAATGGCCACCATGCTGTCTGCGACTCTCTGAGCCCCATCCTCCCAGCCTCGTGCCCATACCCACCATGTGCCCCCCACAGCACCAAGCTGCCCGGAGGGGAGGTGCTGTGTGCAGGAGCCCATCCCCAGCCACCGGCCCTGGGTGTGCTGCCCAGTCCACAGTGATGGCCACCTGCTTGGCCCCCACTTCACCCTCAGCAAGTGGTGTTTCAGCCTCAGACCCCATAGGCTCAACTGACCTGCAAGCCCACCCATCCAAAATCCTGGGGGAAGGACCCCCTAGTGCACAGCAGGGTTAGCTCCCAATGGTCAGCATGACCCTCATGAGGACTTGGGGTGAGGAGGCTCTGCAGTAGCCACAGGGCCCTGCTGGGCAGGAGGTGGGCTTACCTCTCTTGGGGGAAGCACATTTGGGCACCCTGTCTCAGGGGTAGACATGGACAGGGACGAAACTGAGGTAGGGGGCGGCGTAGTGGAGGGACAGTCGTGGTCAACCCCTTTGATCACCTCGCAGTCCTGGCTACACAGGGCATAATAGCAATGGCCAGAGAGGTCTCTCTGGCGGTATATGATGGACCCTGCCGACAGGAGACACGGTAGGTTAGCAGAGCTAGGTTGCAAAACAGCAGCCCCCTAGGCAAACTGGCCGACCCCCAGGGGGGCAGGGAGCCCCCACCTGAATGCGGTGGCCAAGAGTGCACAGGGGCTCTGGCTACAGGC